GGGGGGGGGGGTACTATCACCTGACTGAGAGTAAACAGTGCATGTTATGGGGGAACAGTGTATGATGTGGTATGGTGTCAGTTTTTAAATGAATTGATTGATTTGATTATAAACAGGTTCTTTTACTCTCTGATACTTCATTGAACTTTTACAGACTCAGATAATGAAAACTAAATATAACCAATAAATAAATTGTGTTATTATAGATCATGATGATGATTATAGTTATTATTATAAACATCTTTATTTATAATCAACATTATTCTGAAATGTTTTTCTCAGCGACTTTAATGTATTTGGATGTGACTGTCAGGACTGTTTCTGTGTCATCAGTGTTTATTGTGTGAAATTCAGCAGGAGTAAACTAGTTCATTCAGGACTCCTCCCCCTCACACACACACACACACACACACACACACACACACACACACACACACACAGATTCAGACTCTTTGTCTCTGCTGTGATTTGAAAACAATCTTCCTCTCACTTCACTGAGCTCTTTATTCGTCATCATCAGTGAAGATGGAAGGGACGCAGTGTTTGAAAACATGTGACAGTCGCCAACCCTAACACGCTAACAGACAGGCTAACAGTCAGACTAACACGCTAACAGTCAGACTAACACAATAACAGACAGGCTAACAGACAGACTAACACACTAACAGACAGGCTAACAGACACACTAACAGACAGGCTAACACACTAACAGACAGGCTAACAGACACACTAACAGACAGGCTAACACACTAACAGACAGACTAACAGACACACTAACAGTCAGACTAACAGACACACTAACAGACAAACTAACAGACTAACAGACAGACTAACAGACAGACTAACAGACTAACACAATAACAGACAGACTAACACAATAACAGACAGACTAACAGACAGACTAACATACTAACAGACAGTTTAACAGACTAACAGTCAGACTAACAGTCAGACTAACACAATAACAGTCAGACTAACACAATAACAGTCAGTTTAACAGACTAACAGTCAGACTAACAGACAGACTAACAGACACACTAACAGTCAGACTAACACACTAACAGTCAGACTAACACAATAACAGACAGACTAACAGACAGGCTAACAGACAGACTAACAGACAGACTAACACAATAACAGACACACTAACAGACAGACTAACAGTCAGACTAACACACTAACAGTCAGACTAACACAATAACAGACAGGCTAACACACTAACAGTCAGACTAACAGACAGACTAACAGACAGGCTAACAGTCAGACTAACACAATAACAGACAGGCTAACACACTAACAGACAGACTAACAGACAGACTAACATACTAACAGTCAGTTTAACAGACTAACAGTCAGACTAACACAATAACAGTCAGACTAACAGTCAGACTAACTGGGTCTCAGTGAATAAATCAGCTTTTATGTCTTATTTCTCCTCCTCTTCATCATCTTCATCTTAATATTTTAATTATTCTTAAAGTCCTTATTACTGCTCCTTCAGAATAAAAGCACACCCCACTCCCCACATTAACTAAGTTTAGAGGAAAAGGTTCGGGATGTTTTGATGCTTCAGCGTCTCAGTAATCACTGTTGTGAGTGTCCTGTGACCTCTGACCTCCTTACTGCTGCTGCTGAGGATGTGTGGACACAAACAGATTGAATGTCCCACTTCACATTAACATTTAACTGTGATGTGTTTAAACCAGCCAGTCACTGACTGACTGTTTCACCTCTGGCATTACGGGGAGGTTTACATTAATGAAGCAGGAAACAATCAATCAGCTGGTCTCAGTTTAATTATCAGTTTAATTATTGTTGTTGTTTGTTATAATGAACATGTGATCATGAGTCTACAGCTGCTGCTGCCTTGTTGTTGTTGTTGTGTCAGGCTGAGCTAACATTGATCCTGACATGTCCTATTCTGCCTCCAATGTGATCAATACTCTGATCAATACACATGCTCACAGGTTTAACTCCTGTAGACTCCAGTCATTATTCAGTGATTTATTGATTTGTTCTAATGACCTCATTATAATGTGATGATGTTCCAATCAGCTGTTTATAAAGTGATTATAACCTCCATAATAAACTTTAAGTTAGTTTGTAATATTGAAATATTTAATTTGTAATATAAAACCAGACGCTGATGATCAATAACCTGATGATCAATAACCTGATCAAAGTTTTCATGCTTCAGATGTTGAAGAAAGGAAGTTTAATGAAGTCGTTTTCAATATCTTATAATATTTATAAACTTATAGAAAAGATGTCTCGAAAAATTCCTCTTAGAGTCGCACACACACACACACACACACACACACACACACACGCGCGCGCGCGCGCGCTCGTGCCCGCGCCCTCAGTGCTGCAGGTAGTAGCTCCTCCCCCTCCCTCCTCCATTCTGCCGTTTTAAACACAATAACCGCCGCTCCGGATCCGCGGACCAACCGGACTCGGGTCTGAGGAGTGTTTGGGTTCCTTCGGTTCCAGGTCTCAGGTCTCAGGTGAGCCGCTTCAAACCGCCATGTTGTTGTTTTTCTGTCTGCGTTGGTGCTTTGATGATATCGGGAGATTTGTACGTAGCGACCGTTACTCTCATTCACCGAAGCTAACACCACAGTCGGTACCGGGTCCAGACCTGGTCCAGACCGGCTCGGTGGGGCCAACACGCGGCCGGGCTCGGTGTTGGTAGCCGCAGCAGAGGAGACGGTGTTCGGTTAAAACGGAGCGGTGATGCCGCTCGGTCCTCATTGTTCTCCGTGAAGTTTGCTGGAAGTGATGTAACGTAGCTCCGGTGTGTTCACTGCGCCGGACTCCGTCTGAAAAACAGCCGTTTTAACGCGACCTCGCCTGTCGGTGAGTGTCCGGTGTGAGGAGGAGCTCTGGCCTCCAGGCTGCAGCCATCATTTTCTTTTAATGAAGCTGGACTCCAGCCGTTAGCTCCCGGTGTTCACCGCTGTCCTGGAGGTAGGAAACCCCGGGAACAACCGGAGAACCGGTGGGAAGAGACGTGTTTTCTTCTTCACTAAGTTCTGGCGGTGGATTCAGTTTCCGCCGATTTGAAGAGGAGCTCGTGTTTCTTCTAAAAGTAGTTTAATAATATTGTGTGGCGGGGAAACACTGACGGTAAGCAACGGAACCTTAACCTGTAATCCTTGTGAACGGAGTTCGGTGCGCGGGTTCACGGCAGAAAGAGAAGGTTTAACGGGGCGGGATGTTAAAGTGAACTGGTCTCAGTCTGAGCTCCAACCTGCGTCAGGCTGCTTCCGGTTAGCAGACCAGGTCTCCGGGTCTCCGGGACCAGACTAGATCCGGACCGGGAGCTCAGACCCGTCGGTTCTGGTCAGAGTGAAACAACCTGTTGTAAATGAATGAACCTCCGTCAGGAGGATGACGTCACTCCCCAGGGAAGGTCTGCTTTAGCTGCAAAGAGCTTTAAATTAAAGACCTTCACTCATGGGAAAATAATGTGTTGAAAGACGGGGGGGGGGGGGGGGGGTTTTACTGTTTATTCACTCATCTGATGGAAGCTGCTGTCAACACATT